TGAAATCCGATACAGGATGATTAAAGGAAATGAAAGCTTTTTCACCAAGTCTAGGAAGTAGGGAAAACACACTTTAAATCTTACGGACAAAAGAATCCAGGATATCTGATAATGGGAAAATCCTTGAAATTCATTAACATGCTGGAAATTAGGAGCTAGAAAGAAACTGAAGATTAACTTCTTCATTTTACAGATCAGGACTACATGCCCAAGATCAAATTACTCATAAAATAGGACACAGGAAGAAAGTAAAAACTCTGGATAGAATTACGAATAAATGCATACTAATAGAAGGGATGTGCCTCCATCAAGTCTCGTTTGAAGGAGGATAACGATGCTCTATCCCTCATCTGCTTAGGTGTTACTATGATTACAAAGATCTATGGCTGTGTCAGATATACTATGGCTGCTCCAATAAACAATCCATATACTTTACCATTGCTCAGAAAGGTCTCTACTTAAACTTAAGGGGGAAAAAATCAGCAGATAAAGTATCAAAGAAATTTTCCAAAATAAAATAAAATTTTAAAACACTGTCTAAACTATGATTCAAAATCCAGAAAGAATAAGGAGACTGAGAACTCCGAGTAGATAAAAAATACACTTTTATATGGGAAAAATGCCATAAGCAAAGTTAAAAGACAAATGACAACAGTATTTGAAAGTTTTATCACAAAGGGTTAATTATCCAAATATATAGAGAACCTAAAAATTGAAGAGAAAAAGAAATCTATAGAATGGGCAGAAGACATGAACAATTAGCTCACAGAAAAAGAAATGCGAATGACCTTAAATATGAAAAGATGCTCGACCTTGCTCACCAAATTTAACCTACACTGAGTTATCCTCTTTTCTGTATTAATCAAAAATTAAAAATTTGACAATATATTTTAATGATAAGGCATGAGAAGACAGGCACTCATATACATTGCAGGCGGAATGCAAAATGGTACAACTACTATAGAGGAGATTTTGATAATACCTAGCAACTGATATATATGCATTGGTTACCCTTTGATCCAAAAATATCACTTCTAGGAAACTTTCCCAAAGATACACTGGCAAAAATACAAAATCACATATGCACGAGGCTATACATTGCAAGACTATTTGCAATAGTAGGGTTAAAAAACAAACACTTATCAACAGAGGACTAGTTGAATATTCATTCACCAATGGAATAATATGAAGCCAAAAAAGGGATAACGATCTCTACATACTTCTATAGAAGGATCTACAGGGCATATATTTTTAAGTGAAAAAAGCAAGATACAAAACACTATGTGCAAATACCACCTTCTACCTAAGAAAGGGTGGGGATGAATACACACACACACACACACACATATACATACATATATAGCATGTTTTAATGGAAAAATGAACCCAAAACTAGTAAATATGATACCTATAAGAAAGGGAATAGGGTAGAGAAAACAGGGATGAAAGCTCAACTTGTCTGGATGTACTTTGTTTCACAGGTACTTGTTTTGTAGAAACTATGCTAATTCTTTACATATAATACAAATCCAAATGAGAAAAAAAGCAGTATTAAAAAACTGGAAATGAAATGAAATAAACCAGCTACCAACTAGACATCAAGTTGGCAGCTCAACCATATAATGGTTTTATATGCCTTTAAAATAAAATAATGTTACTGTATATATCCTAAATAGAGTATATAATAGTGATAAAAAAGAACTACAAAGAAATTCTAAACACTATTCAGGAATCATATTGTTAATAATAAAATTAGTATTGTTAATTTGAAACAATTATATATGATACAAGATAAGAAAAAAGTAACTATATTAATGACATTAAGTACTAATATTTCCAGCAAGAGAAAAAATTAACAAATATAAAATCAAATAGGCAAAAAACTATAAAATTAAAATTAAATTGGAAATACCAGTGTGAATTCTGTATATTTCTCTTAAAAAATGTATTTCCTTATAGTATATATACTTGATAATGATAATAAATGACAGAAAAAAATGTTATTTCCTAACTCTGGCCACTATAAAGTCTAGAACTAATGACAAACGTAGCAGCAACAGCACAGTACCTAGACTGTGGTCTCTAAATACCATCTCCCACTCAAAGGAACCAGGTTCTTGGTGGCCAGAACTGTATAAAGAGACATATGTTACGGAACATGAGGACATTATCAAAGACCACTGATCATATCAACTTAAAGGGGCTGCCACTGGCCAAAGACAGGACAATTTGAGTATCTAAAAAAAGAAAAAAAAAAGAACTGCAATAAGTTGAAATAATTTAAATATATTCGAGTCTATAAATTCATGATGATTTTAAAAAAAGGCAAAAACTCTCATGGTTACCTTTGGAGGTTGTTAGGCCACCAACTCATTACTGTAGTCTAAAAATGGAGGGAAAGAATTAGGCATTTATCTCCTGTACAAACTGCATTTCAAATAACTGATGGTAGTCAAATAGCTGGCGAGAGAAAGTTCTTCATGAAAGATTTCCAGCCAATAAATACTAAAGGAATAGGAGAATTAGAAAATCACCATATGAGACTCCTAATGCAATAACAGATATAGACAATCCAAATCCATGAAAAGATTTCACCAGTAAGTGAAAGGTTCATGGGGAATTTCATGATGGATGGATAGATCGGGCTGACGACACTTGAACCCACTACGCTGCTCAATCTTAGTATTACAAAAAAAGAGAATTCAAACATTACGTGTCTCTCTAATAATGCAAAAGGAAGTGTACTGCACCACCTAGCAAATATTTTTGCCCCTCTACCAAAAAAAAAAAAAAAATCAAGGTTGAACCTGATCATGCTTCTAGATCAGTACTGTTCAACAGAACTTTCTGCAATTATGGAAATATTTTATATCTACACTAGTCAAAACGGCAGCCATGAGGCACCTGTGACTAATGAGCACTTGAAACATGGCTAATGCAACCAGGAAACTGAATTTTTAGTTTTATTTCATTTTAATTCATTTAAATAGCCACATGATGCTACTATGGTAGACAGTGCACTTCCAGATCTAACTACTGGTTTAAAGGAAATAGAGGTACATGTTAAAGTTAAAGTATACCATGCAGATAAAATCAGCTAAATCTAGAATGTTAAGAGAGAGAGGGGAGGCAAGGGAGCTGTTATATTTAATATTTAAAGGTGTATCAGCCAAATGCAACATGCAGATCTCTACAGGATTTTGATCCAAACAAACTTTGTAAAAAGATATTAAGGGACAGTTTGAGAAATCTGAACTCAGACTGAACACTGACATTATAAAATTTTTACTTTTTCATAGGTGGTTTCGTAAAGCTGAAAAAATGAACCCAGCTCTTGAAGAAAAAAAAAATAACATAAAAATAAAAAATTCAGTTCCTAAAACCTGTATCAATGTTGGCTTCAGGTGAATTTCAAATCAAACTGACTTTTTTTTTTTTAAAGTAAAAAACTATGACAGAATGGACTACTGATGATGTCACCACGGGCCACCTGCACCACATAAATGAGAACAGGAAAAAGTTTGGTAGAAGGATCAAGTCTTCTTTTAATGGAAGGAAAATGGCATCAGTACAATTAATAAACACGATTACTATAAATAATTTTTAAGACCTGAATCTACATAAATTTTAAAGGGCAGTGTGACTGAATGTTTATAAATCTCTAACACATTTTACTTTGTCGTTTTTACTATATTGATCACGGATAGTGATATAGTCAAAGGGAAACTTAGATGACCAATCTAAAGATGATACTGCATTCCAAATAATACTTTATCATTAAGCTACAGCTATTATAAATCTAAATGTAAATGTTTGAAGGTAACATGTTGATATTCCTTATTATGATTTCTTATCTATAAAAAATCAAGCATGTGGGGAACTGTATAATTACAGGGTATCTACCCTACAATACTGCTTTATTAACAGAATAACTTTTTTAAGATTTAAGAAATCATATGTAAGGCTCAAGGAAAATTACTTTGTGCAAATAACTACTGTAACAATAAACGAACACTAGTCACTGACAACAGACTCATCTGCACTCTGATGCTGTAAAGGGACATAAGAAAAAACACATGAGCCTATATATAGTGTCTTCAAATAGCTTCATGATTAAAATATTCCTAAGGAACTATACCTTTTAAACCCTCACTCTATCATTTAGTTGCCATCGTGATTTGTATGGAACAACCCATAAGTTCAGGGTTCCCTAACTTCATTCCTTCATGATTTCTGCCACATTTCTGTATCTCCTGTACTAACGTTTTTAAACCAACTCACTTTTTAAAAATTGCTAAACGTCCCATCATAAATGAACAGGCATCACCTGCTGTGGATGACCTACGTCGCAAGAATGCTAGCAAGCTAACTAGATACAAGAAAGGCGGGAGGGCTGTGCCGTGGGTTCCCTCCCTGGAAGAGGAGACTGGCCCAGCTGGCTCCACCGGGAGAGCTGAGGACTCGGGAGAAGTTCACCCACCCTGCCGCCCTCCTGCAGGCCCGACCTCAGGGACGTGCTGACCACCTGGCTGGCCTGGACCGCACGCCCTCCAACGCCATAGCGGCCTTCGCGGGCCCGCAGGGCGTATGCGGCGAGGCGGAAGGGCAGGGCGCCGGGGCGGGTCTGGGCCAGCGGGGGCGGGCCTGGCGGCCTGCTGGCTGCTGCGGAAG